AAGGAGCAAATGAAGAGTTGATTATGTAGAGGGCTTATTTTTTTATTTATTTTTGATAGAAATGATAGACGGGATTGATCAACCATAACAATTCTTTTAAATGTGATAAGAAAAAGTCCCTACTTGCTTAGGACTCAAACAAGATTAGTTAGAAGCATTCCTAGTAGAATTAATGTGGTCGGATTCCCTAACCATCCCCTCCCCTTCCCCTTCCCCTTCAACTAGTCTAGAAGCATAAAACTTCAATTTCCTTAATGATCATAAATGTTAAAAATTTATAATTCACTCACAAAGACATGTCAAATGAGTTGAGCAATACACGATTGAGTTTATGACAAAATTAAAAATTTAAAATATAACTTGTTGTAGTGAGTTTCAAATGGTGAATCTCTTTCTCTTTTTTTTTTTCCCTTCATATACTCACCTGTTATAGGTAAAAAAATATATATTTGTTTGTTTAGAGCTTCACTGAAATGTTCTTGAGGTGACATGATTCTTTATTTTCACTTGCAATTTTATGGAATTTTTGACATTGATTCAATGCTCTTGAAACAAGTTCATTCCTTAGCCCATAACCACACTTTAAATAATTGCATTGATTTATGTCCTAATTCATGGGATACTCGGCTCATTTTTATCAATTTATTTTAAATGGCTAAATACATATTATTTTAAAATTTTATTTTGAAAATAAAAATATATATTAACGCATATTTAATAATATTTATTGCGCAAATCTAAAGATATAATTATATAAAAAATAAAAAGCTATCTAAGGCCAAGTAGCAAAATTGTGATCGAATTTGAATTTCGAGATCAGCAAGTCTATCGTTTGTGTTAAACTGTGGTGTAGGGTTCTTCGGAGAGGTTGCCAATAGTAAGTTGGTAAATTTACGTGAGGGGCATTTGGTCATTTCATCTCCAACATAGCGAGGGGAGTTTTATTTTATCTTATTTTATTTTCTTTTTTTAAAAAAATTTGGCCTTTTAGTCTATGAACCAAAAAAAGTACATAATCTCGACAAATATTTTTTTTCCTAAATCATTAAAGGAAATATATATATGGCTAAAAAATTGTTGCCAAATGAGGAACATACAATTAAATCATTAAAAGCTTCTTATCAACAGATATACGAAATATGATAATTTCACATTGCACAATATTATTAATGTCTCTTTAAATTAGTTGTTTGATTAGAAAGGATAAAAAGTCCACCCAGTATAATTTACAAAAAATAAAATAAAATAAAAAATGTCTATAATTTAAGTTCTTACAATTTTATCTTTTTTTTCGGTCCAAATCCCATGTTTTAAGAAGAAGAAAATCATTTAGAAAATCATGATGAGTTTCTAAAACTTGACAACTTAACTCTAGTGAATGTATTTTTACAATAAAATGCTATTGAAAACACAATAGAATGCTACCCATGATTTATGGGATAAATTATCAATAGGTCCTAAAAGTTGAATTTAATTACCATTAAGTCATATTGAAAATAAGTCTTTTAGTAAAGTGGTCGCAAAAAATAATTTTTTGTAATATTTTTTTTTGCACATGTCGTTAAAAATTGACAACTAGTGACTATTTTTTGTCAAAGTTTTTATAAATTGTCGTTAAAACTTACAATTAGTGACGTTTTTCTATGAAGAATATTTCAAACTGTCATTGAAAGTTAAAAATTATTCATTTTTTGTGATATTTTTTTAAACCGTTGCTAAAACTTATAATTAATAACATTTTTTATGACAAAATTTTAAATTGTCACTGAAAATTAACAATTAGTGACGTTTTTAATAAAATTTTTTTTATATAAAAATGTCATTAATTTTCACATGGCCTATCCATTTATTAGGACGTACATGTAAGTCCCCTAACTTCAGTAACCTTTGAATTTTTTTGTTGCCATGACTTCTTCAAAGTGAATATAAATTGGATAAAGTCTTATCCTTTTCCACATCATCCTAAGGTTCTTACTATGATAATATCAAGAGTATTGCTATTCAAATTAGTTTTACTTTTCAAACTTAATGATGTGACAATTAATTGTAACGCCCTCAAATAATAACATTAAACCCATCGGATAAGACATGCATTTACATATAAACTAACCACATTCCTTTATTTCATTGAGTTCCATTACATAAGTATTACATGTTAACATCAAAACAAAATGCCTTAGAAAGTGGATTTACATATCATTTTTCTAATATCAAACAATAAGGAGCAAATGAAGAGTTGATTATGCAGAGAGCTTATTTTTTTAATTTTTTAATTTTTATTTGATAGAAATGATAGACGGGATTGATCAACCATAACACTTCTTTTTAAACGTGTCAAGAAAAAGTCCATACTTGCTTAGAAATCAAACAAGATTAGTTAAGATCATTCCTAGTAGAATTAATGTGGTCGGATTCCCTAACCATCCCCTCCCATTCCCCTTCAACTAGTCTAGAAGCATAAAACTCCAATTTCCTTAATGATCATAAATGTTAAAAATTTATAATTCACTCACAACGACATGTCAAATGAGTTGAGCGATACACGATTGAGTTTATGACAAAATTAAAAATTAAAAATATAATTTCTTGTAGTGAGTTTCAAATAGTGAATCCCTTTCTTTTTTTTCTTTTTGTAAATTATAAGCAGTTTGGGCATTTGACCTAGGGAAAGGACACGGGGGCATGCTTGGCAAGAGTGTTATAGCAATCCTGTGAATAAGACAGTATTGTTGGACAAGTATTAGTAGAGCATATGCTCTTTACAAAATAAGGTTTCATGATATCTTCAAGCAGACCATGTTTGCACATCACTCCTCTCTGTAATATTTAACGACGTTTTTAAAACGTCGCCTTTTTAAAAAAAATCAAAACGGCACCGTTTCAATAACCGATGGGGTTTTATTTCTCATCTCTCTTCCTCTCTTAAATGGGCGAGCGGGTGAATATCAAATATAATGGGTTCGTTTGGTTTGAATTTCGGAAAATTTTTTGGGAAATTTTCTCTACAAATAAGTTTTTAAAAGTAATGAAACCAAACAAATTTTCCCAAAAAAATTTCTCAAAACTTGTAAACCAAACAAGTTTTCCAAACAAATCTCTCTCTCACACACATCAAATCAATCACTTTTTTCAAAACTCTCTGTCAAAATAATTTTTTAAAACATCTTTTGAAAAAAACCAAACCAAACAATTTTTCGTACTTTTTATCTCTAAAACACATCTCTCAAACACAAACCAAACATACCCAATACATTTTGTAGCCCTAATCTCTCACTCACTCACTCTCTCTCTCGTTCCTTTCTCTCTCTGCTTCATCTCGCTGTAGCCCTAATCGAAGTTCTCTCTCTCGATTTCGATTTCGAAATCTATGTTTCGGTTATTCTTTCTCAATTTCGAAGCTTATTTTGAATCTGAGAATAATTGTTAAAGCCTTTGTAAACCCTTATTTTGAATCCTCACGCCTTCAAATCTCGCCTCTCTATCAACCCTCTCTAAACCCTTATCATTCTCACAGATTCATCTTTGAGATTTAGAGCGATTTCGATTTCGATTTAGAAGCTCCACCGCCACCGCCGTCTGCACTGGCTCGATTTCTCTGATAGTAATGCAGATGATATATTTGGGGGTAGATCTTTAATGGGTCGGAATCTTCTTCATGCCAAGAAAGGTGCTTTTTTTCTTTTCAATCATAACCTTTTTAATCCATTGCTTTAATGGGTATTTTTTCGTTTGAATTTTTTTGTTTTGTTTTGTTTTGGGGGTTTATAATGCATGTATCTGCTGGATTTATAAGCTTAAAATTTCAGCAAAATATATGATGATTGAACATTAGCATATGGGGGTTTATCAATACGAAGTTCTCTCTCTCGATTCCTCTTCAGCTCGGTGATTCCTCGTAGTGATTCATCTCAGAGGGGGAACGGTGAACGATGACATTTGCATGCCTTTGATTCAACATTCAGGCAAGGACTCTGTTTTTTTAAATGGAAATTGAGGCAGGATATGTCATAACAGAAGCAATTCTGAAGATTAATACTGAATGACCTTTTGTGATTAAATTTGCATTGTATGTCTCTTAGGTATAATGACACATTAATTTCAATACTTTATCTGAGATTATTTTGATCGATGTCTGTTTTAAGAAATAAAGCATTTTTTTCCATCTATATTTATTCACCCACGATTCTGTCACAGAAGTTACTATCTTTCCTGCTACTTTTGTGTTTGTGGTCAATAATTGCCTCTGCCTAGTTGTTTCTTGCCCGTATTTTTTAATAATGATAGGTAGTATGTCCAGTGTATGTGTAAAATATGTTGTCTAGCATTGTTTCTGTTAACTGTTTTTGGCTAGAGTGTTATTGGAAGTAGATGTGGAGGCATGTTACTGACTCTGCCATCACTTCTATTACCGACTCTGCCATCACTTCTATTACCGACTCTGCCATCACTGACTCTGCCATTATTTGATCCATTTATCAATTTGTGCCAGTTAAGATGGTTAAAAGCATGAGTGCTGGTGGTTGTATGCATGAGTGCTGGGTCTGGTGGTTGTATGCATGAAAACTAAGATGGTTAAAAGCATGGTTGGAGGCACTACCTTGAATCGTGATCGAGTTTTGGCTAAATCCCTACTGGGGCACTTTCTTTAGCTTCAGTCCTAGAGTTTTTCAGTTACTTTGCAAATGTGATTTATCTTATTGCATATTCAAGTCCCAACACATACTGCATTTGTAATGTAGCCAAGGGGTGTTGACTGTTCCAACTCGTCAAATTATACTTAATAATTTTTGTACCTTCATCTTGTCTACTTCTCTGGGATAGTTGTACAAACAAATATGAGTTTGCTCAGTTAAAGATACAATTTTTTTGCTACATCCTCTATCATTCGATTTTGTTCTACTTTATTAAGTGCTTTGAGATGGCATTGTTGTAGGCTTCTTGCTGGTCTGGGAGCAACCAGGACAGGAATATGAGAAGCCCTTTCGAATCACTATATATCCAGCCATCCTTCGAATCTATTAGTTGGTATGCTTAGTATTAGTAATTATGGTGTCTTAGCTCCAATCTCTAGCTCTTAGTAAAACTCTTTTTTTTGTGTGTGTGTGTGTTTGATTTAGCTTATAATGGATTCCTGAAAACATGCTTTCCCAGTAGGTGTTGTTAATGCTTTCCTTGTTTTACTTCTCGTGGTTTCTTATCATTGTTTGTGAAATTCATGAATGACAAGAGGAATGCTGCTTTTATGAATATGCACAAATAAAATGATGGTAACAAATGATATAAACAAAGTGTAGCAAATTCATAGAACGATAGATCTGCACAGCAATTGCAGGGAACATATGCATGCATAAAATCAATTCTTCCTTTTCAAATCATATGACGAGATGTATGCCTTGCTACAAATTGTGATTTCCTGCTGATATTGATTTTAGATGAGTGCCAGTTAATGCTGTCTGTATGATTCTGTTACTGTTACTTCTAATAGCATTGCGTCATTCCAAATGTTTGAAAAATGGGTGGAAACATTAGAGAACCATAAAATAATAAAATCAACTGCCTTCGTGAACCCTAAATTCTTTTAGCCACTAGAAATTTTCATGCATTTGCTTGGCATCCAATTTTTGTTTCCGCATCTTCACTTTTGCCTTTTAAGAGTAAATATTAGTTATAACGGTGAAAGTACATGATAATATTACGAACCGCTACATAGTTGGGTAGTGTCAAATAATCTCATTTGTAGTATTTTTTGGCCGATGATACTATGAGGATGGTGTTACCGTTGCAGTCCATATTGTTTCATCTTTTTAGACATGTTTGCTAAATCATTTGCACCTAATCAGAGAGATTCTCAGTGTGTGGTGAAATGCTGCTTTTTATGTTGTCTTGAGATGGTTGGTGCGTCTATTATGCTCTGCCTTTTATCCATCCCTACTATTCAATGTTATTTTTTTGGCCATCCATCCCACAAGTTTTCAAGACCTTGACTGCTTTTTACTATTCAACAGAATCTTTAAATGGAAGGAATCAGTGAATTTGTTATACCTTTTGAAAGTTATTTTATTGCTTTTAATAGCAAAACTTTACTTTTTTGTGTGTAAAAGAGAGAATATTTTTAAAATACCAATTCTATAATAGCTTAATTTTTATTGAAATTTCCAGTGAAAAACCAATGAGCTGTGTTATAATAGCTTAATTCTTATTAATTTCTTATACCTTTTATAGGTAGACCTTTGTTATTGAGTAAGGGCCAACAATGGGGGGGAGACTATGTAAACTTTGGGCCATTTGTGGAAGTCCATATATATAATATTTTTTTTCTTTTCTTTTTTTTCTCATTGATTTTTTCTAAGATTCATTTCTTTTTATAATTAACTATGATTAAGGAAATATAATTTATGGAATTTTTTTTTAAGGAATTTATAAGGAATTTCTTTTTAAGGAATTTATAACTAGCCATTTCATAATATTCTTACCTTTTCTTTCACACTTGGAGTTATATATATATACACATTTCCTAGGGTTTAAGAATACATAAAAAGTTGTCCTTTCTTGTTTATTATTTATTATGGAGGGGTTGGATGATGTTTAAAAGCTGTTTGTTTACTTTTTTTGGCTTTTGTTTGAGCGAAGGAAGTGGGTCAAAAAGCTGAGAGCATGGTTAAAAGTATGTTTTTATCTTTTTGTATCTATTTTAGTTTTCTTAATCAAACTGATGTTTTATCTTCTTGTATCCACTTTAATTAGCTTTACACATAATATAGAGTTTTTTAAAAACCAATCTTTTTATGTGGTAGCTTTCACTCAGCTGTCATTACAGGCCCCAAAAGCCCTGCAACCCTTCAGAAATCCTGCGATCTCTCTCATCTTTCTCAAAAACAAAAACAAAAAAAAAAACGTTGTGAAAAAAGACTCTACCCACCACCCTTCACCTAAAAGTGCCACATGGCTACATTTTCTTGACTTTAACTTAATCAAATTGTATACACTAATTAAAAGTATATCTCTCTACCCTTTAATCTTGCATGGGTTCATGTGTCTTTCTCCTCACTCCAGCTTTCTCTTTCTTCCCACATGAGAGAGAGAGAGAGAGGAGAGAGAGGAGAGGTTCTTCATCAAAGTGGCAACAGAGCAAAGGAGTTCACAGTTTGGGGATCTTGAAAGAGTCAATTCTGTTAAGTTTTGTAAGAGTGGCTAAAGGCTGAATTTTGTCAGGTTCTGAAGAGCTGGGAGTTGTGACTGTTGGTGAATTGAAGCCCAGCATCGCAGGGAAGAAGGTCTTTTCGGCCGAGTTCGAGTACAAGGCATGTCACTGAATGGTAATCTTCTTCCCTTCTCTGTTCCACACACTAAACTAGTACTATGTTTCACAAAAATTAGGTAGTTTCAAACCAAGTATGATAAATATCTGGTTTTTACAGCCTCTAATTCTGCATTTTAACATGAATCTTGTTTATTTTTTTTGAAAACCTGTGATGGGTTGGGTCTGGTTATAACTCTATACTTTGGAAATTTGAGGTTGAATAGAATTAAGTAGTTGAAAATTTTACAGAATTAAAGCTTGATTTGGTCTTGTGCAAGAAAGCAGAGATTCCACCAAGCATCTTCTTCAACTTATATTATTCATTCAGCCCAAAAGTTGTTTTTTTCCACTTTCACTACTGAAAAGGGAAAAAAAAAAACTTTAAATTTGAAATGACTATTTAGTATCGTGAAATAGGTTACTGAATTCATTTCATCAACTGTAAGCAATCTTCATCGTGTCCAATCCCCCAAATTTTACAGAAGGTAGCAAAATCACACCTAGTTTTCAAGATTGAATACAACTTGTCGAATATGTGTCAACAAATCTCTTGTGCTTAAAAGCACCCCACGAGGCCGTGATGTTAAATGTCCTTATTTCAACACACACATTAATGCTCTGATCTGGTTTTAGTATCCGTCTGTCAATATTTCGCATCTCACCCTATCCAGAGCCCCTCAAGCGTACGAAGGAGTCATAAATAGATGCTTGAGTATGAACATTTTTTACGTGAAATAGACTAAAAATTTGCAAACAGACAAACATACACGTTTTCTGATTGAAATGAAGGTCCCAGCATACCCATGAAGTAAGCGACAAACAGCCAAATCAAATTGTTTCCTGAATGCAACCAGCCTTGCAATCTTCATTGCAGGTTTCAGAACCATTGGGTTAAATTTGGCCTTATCTGCTAAAAGTACTGCTTGTGAAGTCCCACTCCTTTTTATAATTGAGCTTTTGCTTTCAACTGGGGTCTCCATGTCGAACGTAGATCCAAATGGATCACTATATATGAATTGAAACCCCTTTGGAACAAATTGTATCATAGGTTCAACATGGTGATGAAGATGTAAAAGAAGAAACCAGATTTTTACTAAACCA